AGTTGGGGAATATCTCCATTCCATTTTCAGTAAAATGGTGTAAATCAAGTCTATGTCCTCAGTCCAATGCCATTTAGTGTTGTTTGCTGCCAAGAAGCTTTACACCAGGGATGTTCAACCTCCAGCCTGCAGGCCAAATACAGCCCATGGAACCATGCTTGCCTGTGGAGTACACTATGGATTGCAAAATTTGGTGGCAGGGGAACACTGGCAATGAATATGACCACCCTCTTCTGCTGCCAAATTCCAAAACCTGAAGTCTCATGCCCTGTGTGGTGGGTTGGAACTGGGCTGTGTCATGCCCCCTCCCCCAACGTGGCCAGGTCAGGGCTACACCATGCTCTGCCCCCCACCCCCATCCTCCCTATGTAGGGCCAGGTTTGGGTTGCATCCCCTTCCCCCCTCAGCCCCAAGGGGCCAGGCTGGGGTCATGTCAAGCCTCCTTCCCTATCCCATGGGGCCAGGTTAAGCCCTGCTGCCCTGCAGGGCTGGGTTGGGGCTGGGCTGCATCCCTTTCTCCCCCATCCCCTCTGTGCAGCCAGATGGGACTTGGCCATGCCCACCCAGGGCTCCAGATCAGGACCACCAGCTAGATCCAGCTTATGGACAGATTGGGCATTGCCCCCAGGCAAAAAAGTTGAGCACTACTACTTTACACAATATTGATGTGAGTATTTGAATTAGATACATAACTGATGGAAATCTGTATAATTCCTGAAAGTTGCATGTGAAAACAAGGGTACTTGAGAAATTAATCCACAAACTTGTTTGTTGATGACTGTGTCTTGCTACCTCATTCCTAAAAAGATTGCTTAGCAGTTGTATGCCCATGTTTTAGGCCATAACCTGCTCCCACATGCCACTAATTATCACCATGGGAGTGTATGTGTTTCAAGGTGCAGACAAACCCATCTCCCTGATTAGCCTTCTCTCATGTAAAGTTCTCAGTGATGATGAAGTCCTCAAGAAAACTCCTAAAGCTCAAACAGCCTTTAGAAGATGATATGAATGTCTTTGTAACAGGAAGGCATACACTTTGTAGCCAAATTAGCAGTCTATGAAGCAGTAGATCTGATTTCCTTATTCTATGTCTGTGAACCACGGATAACTGTGGATATTATACAAATTTGCCCCATTTTCATTTAAGCTGTTGGGGAAAGCTAATGAAAATAAGATGGCAAGATAGAATCCGAAATACTCAATAGTCTTCCATGGGTAAATATAACAAGGATCAGTGCTATGTTTATAAAAGGACAACTAGGACATAGTTGAAGTTAAGATATCTGATACGTGGCTCCCCAAGAAAATGCAAGGCTGGGATAGGTTTAGACAAGTTGTTGAATGCAGTGCACTTTTTTCATGTTCTCAAGAAAACTATTTTTGGAAGAATCTGATCTGGAAGACATTTCTGTGGTGGGAATCAAGAAAGATACAAGGACTATTTTAACAATCTTGAATCAATGCAGTCTGCGCAGTCAAAAACCTGGGAATGAAAGACCCATAAATGGAAGACACAGTGCAAATTGGTTCATGATATCATAATTAACTTTGGGAAAAAAAATGCATCAGGGACATACAGTAGACATTTTTAAAACAAAACTTTGGTATCAAAATCAGCCCTCTTGCAACATCTACAATCATCTGCCCAGTTTGTTATTCTACATTCCTGTAAAAATCTGGCATAGCAGTCACATGAGAGCCTCAAGGCTGAATAGGCTCAGCTCAGGTACCCCTGCTGGAGTCTGGGAGGTGCTGGACTAGGCCCCCACAGCTTTGGGGGTCAGATCCCACCCTGCAGCCCATCTCCTTCTTTTTGACAGCAGCAGGCAGGCTGGGGGAAGGGGTGCCAGTCCTAATGCTGGTGGGCCCAGCCAGACTACCCCTGCTTGGGTCTAGGGAAGTGCTGAACAGGGTGCATGTGGCCTTGGGGCTTTTGGGGGTATGCACCTATTGGGCACCAGGGAGCCTCTCTGTAGGGGGGGGATCTGGCCAGAGGCTCCTCAGCCCCGATTGTTGGCTCAACTGCCCCACCCCAATGCCCATCTGCATGGCTGGCTGTCAGGGCAGGTGGGGGAGCTCTGGGGGGTTCTGCATGCCCAAAGCCAGTGTTAGCAGGCACCAAGGACCCTCTCCCTAAGGAGGGGGGACCTAGCCAAGCCCCACCCAATCTCTGGCTTGATTGCCCCCACTCCCCCACAGACTGCATGGATGCAGGCAGCTGGTTGGCCATGTCTCCAGTTTGGCTGGCTGGCAGTGCAGGCAAGGTAATTTTGGGGCTTTTGCAAGCCATCCCGTGCCATGCCATGGCTTCCCACTTTCTGTACACAAGCAGGGAGACCCTGGAGCTGCATCAGGTCCTGCTGATCACCGTGTGTGATTCTCATATGATACATCACACATGACCTGCTAAACCTGATGCGGCAGTGGGAGGCCCTAGAATGCATCTTCATGCTAACACGCATTGAGCTGTTTGTTGTGCCTCTGCACCCCTGCCTGCTGAGCATCCATGACTGTGGCTCCAGGTTCCTTTTGGACAGTGATGATAGGACCATCCTGTATGCCATGAGCACTGGGATATTCTAGAACCATCTCCACCTGTCAAGCACACGGTTTAGGTGCACCCCATCAGCACCAACTGGTGGGAGCAGATAGTCCTTGGTACCTGGGGTGATGAGTTGTGGCTCCAGACCTTCCATATAAGATACGACACCTCCATGGACATCATCATCCAAGGGTCCCCTGCATGATAATGTCACTCACCAGGACATCATCAGCCAACATACAGCCAACCCTCAATTCGGAGAAGCAAGTGGCCATTGCTGTCTTGAAGCTGGCCACTCCTGGCAGTCTCTGCTACATTGCCAACCAGTTTGGTGTTGGCTTGCCCACGGCCAGAGAGGCTGTCCAGGAGGTTTGGCTGGACATCCAGGATGTCCTGGCAAACTGCTTCATCTGCATTATCAACCTGAAGGATGTAGTAGCTGGCTTCTGATGCATGTGCTTCCCCAATTGCACAGGGGCCTTGGACAGTACCCACATCCTGTCTGCTCAGCCTAGGATGGCTGGGCATTCTTCAACCACAAAGGGTACCTCTCGATCATCCTGCATGGAGTTGTTCATCATCACTTCACCCACATCTATGCTAGTTGGGCAGGCAGACCCCACAGTGTCCATGTCTTCCAAAACTTCCCTACTTCCTAACCTGATGAAGAGTTGGCACTACACCCTTGGACTCCCCAATTGCATCACTGGCAATGTTGTAACCCCCACTCCATCACTCGTGACTCAGCTTACCCCCTCCTGCTCTGACTGATGAAGCCCTATGGGGGTAGCTGGACCACCAGAAGGAACACTTCAACTACTGTCTGAGCAGGTGCCATATGGTGGTAGAGTGTAGATTTGGCTGCCACAAGGTACACTGGTGTGCTTCCAGCGTGCACCTTGAGGTTGATGAGGAGAACCTGCTGCAACTCATAGTCACCATGTGTATCCTCCACAGCATCTGTGAGACCAGAGATGAGGTATTCCTGGAATCCAGTTTTATTTTATGCAGATAAAACTCAGCAGCTAGACCAAGACTTAAGCCCCTTGTTTAACAAGAGTCCAGAACAAGGAGGAGTTTTCTAGGGAGTCTGCTTTGAAACTCTCTCTCACATTCCTTCACTGTAAGCTTGCTGAGAGGAAAGATGTTTGTAGGGAAAATGGAACCCTTCAGGATTAAATAACATCAAACAGGCCAGTTACAGAGGGAATGTCTGCTTGGAAACAGAGGAAGGAAGTGAGAGGCAGCAGATTAGAAGACCAGAGACATGGCTGGTGGACATCACAATCCCAGAGCCACTGCCACTTTCAGCTCTTCCTCTGCTTCCACCTGTGAGGTGTCTGTCTAGGCAAAAGCACACACCATCAAGGCTTCCACCCAGGTACTGGTTTGGTTCTGTGCAGATGGCAGCTTGGGGGTTTCTTCCAGTGTCAGCCAGGTGGGGGAGTGCCTGCAATGTGAGCAGTGCCTTCTGGTGGTGTTCCTCAGGGAGAAGACAAGAGACAGGAGGAGATAGCAATGCTCTAAAGCATCTTCTGATTCCATTCTGGAGAAAAACCTCTAAGACTGTGGAGAAAGGACTGCGAGAGGTGGTTCAAGAAAAGAAAGAGAGCATGGACTCCCAGGAAAGTGGAAGTTAGAAGATTGTGACCTCTGGCAGCAGAAGAAAGTCATCATCTCCACCTGCAGTGGTTTGCCTGGAGAAGATATGGAGCACCAGCAATGGAGGACAAGGAGCTCATTCCATTGGCGGAAGAGGCCAGGCCAGGAATCCCCAAGGTGGGGAAGCATCAAGATCACTGCCATGAAGAGGAAGTGATGGGTGGTAGTGGTTGGAGACTCCCTTCTGGGAGGGTGGGAGGTAGGTGGACGGATCCATCTGCCAGGCTGACCTTTTATCCTGTGCAGTGCACTTCAGCCATGATTTAGGTAGATCCCTAGTTATAAAGAGCAACAAAAACAGGCAAGAGGGCCCAACCCATAGATTCAGAGCACTGAGTCAGATTTAGGCACTCTAAGCAGGCCAGAGGCACATCTTGGTAATCTGGGGTGCCTATACAAACGCTCCGATGTGTTCTAATTAGAACGCTCTAGTATCGCTGCATCATCATGTGTATAAGCCCCTATGGGTTTAAAAATGGCTGCTGGGGCACTTTAACTATAGCTCATTGAGTGAGCTTTAGTTAAAGTGTCCTATGGCCATTTTTAAACATGTGGGGGCCTAATACATGTGACACTGCAGCATTTTAATTAGAGGAGCTCCCCAAGAGCTATCCTTGGTCTGAGCTTATATAGCCAGTGTGGCAGGGCTGTCTTCTTGAGGGATGTCTCAGCTTGATTTCCTGATTATTTCCAGGTAGGACCTGGGACTAGCGCTGTCCCCAGCTGGGCCTCCGCTTATTACAGGGAACTTTTAAAGTGTTAATCTTTTCCTAATGTGGTATTATAATCTTCTCACCTGATAAACTTTCTCAGGGGGTGGTGCTAGGATATTGTGCTCTTCAAGTTCAGGTGGTTTTGCTGGCTCATCTTTAGATTTCTCCTTGGAAACTTTCTTCTTCGAGCTCTTGCTTTCTTCAATGACTGGTACTTCTTTGTTCTGTCCTTTCTTTTTACCACCTGATTTTTCTTTCTTTTCAGCTTTTTTCTCTTCCTTTAATTGTTCTTCTTCTAATAGTCGATCATGTTCTTCCTTCCAAGCCTATTAAAATGTAAAAAAACAAATCAAGAAACTCAGGTCCTGTTTTCATAAGATGGTGCTTAATATTTTGTAAATAACAGTGTATATGCAGCTTTAATTCACTTCCTTATGCAAGTGCATTATATAACCAGATAAAAATTTGAAAAACACCTAAGTAACTTGAAAGACAAAGTGTGTTATTTTGGTGCAGGTAGCAATTCTGTTTCCAGCAGTGCGAAAAATGAGTATGCACTATGTATGTGGACTGAGCATACACAGAAAGCTGTGTATTGGTAAGACATATGTAAGCACCACTTATGGATGTGCACCAGCAACCTTCTATGGAAATGTAGGTGACCTAACGCACACACCCAGCAGGTGTTAGATGGAGCAGTAGGAGTGGTCTTCCAGTTTTAAGCCCAAATAGCTGAGCGGGCTGTGGGGAAGTCAGAGACCCAAATCCTAGGTCCCTGTCACCATGAAAGGAATTTGAGCAAGTAATTTTCTGACTTTCCAAAACACTACCTCTAACTACTATGCCACTAAGTTAGGCATTAGCTACAGTCCTTTCTAACACTCCTATAACATTTGGCCCCCTGGGCAGCCAAGAGAGGGATATATGTGTGGCCAGGAAGAAAACAGCAATTGTATGCATGGTTCAGTGAGATGGCTGTTCCCCTTGCAAGGAGCAGGGCCTAATTATCTTTATCCCCAGTGAAGGGCAGGAACTTCCCCACTATATTGCGCGCATTTTTCAGTGACAATTAAATGCAAGGGACAGTGGCTCAGCTTTGAAAGGAGTGCCAGAAAGGCAGCTGGATTATGCCTGACTTGTGATGGTTAGCACAGTGTACTAGGATGTCATAAAGATGCAGTTTCAAACTTCCTATGGGCAAGGGATGTATAGCAACTGTGTCTTCGACTTCCTGGGCAAGTGCCCTACTCACTTAGGTATTAGGGCTAAAATAAGGTAGAAATATTTTCATTCTCCTTCATTTTATTTCCAGGTACGTTTGCATATAGTCACATGCACATGCAGGGTTATGTATCTGGGAAACAGAATTCCTAGCTGTATGTAAGTGCCAAAATGCCACTTCTATAACTAAAAAGTGTTACTTAGATGACCAAAGGGATAAAATTCCACCCAGAGTTATTTGGGCTGCTAAGCCTTATGCACTTAAGCAACTTAAACAATTTTCAAAAGTTTGCTTACATTCTCTAATAAGATAAAACATATTTTTACCACAGGACTTTGCCTCATCCTTATCATATACTGTTGGATTATTCCTGCTTTGTCCCCTAAATGTGATAAAGCACAATGAGTGCAGTATAAAAAATATATATAAAAAAGGTTTGTGACCAGAAGGAAAGAGCAGCTGAGGAGCAGAACTCTGTTGCCCTTTAATGAAGGTACTCATTTAGAAAGTAGGAGTCCTAGGGTTCCTGTACACATTATGGGGTTTAATCCTCATTTAATTAAATAGGTTTCTAAAATTTAAACTTGTTTATTTTGGAGCATTGTGTCAGTGTTTGCACATATTAGGTTTTTGATTGAATTAAGCCCAGTGTGCAGTTCCCTGTAAATTCCAGCAGGGGAAGCCACATGTAAACCAGTAAGTAATGCACCAGTAATCCACCCCCTCCTCAGTCCCTGAACCACTCCTCCCCTGGGAAGCCTCATGCTAACCCTCACTTACTGCCTCCCCTGCCAAGCCACAGTCACTTAAAATATGTTATAGTAAGTGTTTGACTTTTAGTGTATAATTTGGATGTTTCTGGTTCTAAGATGGCCACTCCCCCCTCCCAAAAGGAGTATTTCTGGGGGACAAGGGGATGGACTTCTGGCTATTAAGGTCAGGGGTTAGGGGTGGGACTTCTGGTCCTAAGATGGCAGCCAGGGGGCATGGCACTTGTTAAGGGGTGGGGCTACCCATGCAGCCCTGAACAGTTGACCAAACCTCGTTAAGCAGCCCTCCACCTGAAGTAATTGCCTGCCCTTGGAATAGGCACATCCAAGAAGTATTTACTCAGAAAATAGTATAGTTGTTGGGTATGCCTCCTCATTCTCGAGTTACTGACCTTTGAAAGAAGCAGCTCACCAGAAAACAGGCCTGACCTGCAATAATCCTGTTTTGAAACAAACATCTCCCCAGAAAAGAGCTTTGCTCTGTAGTACTGCAGAAGAAAAAGTTGCCTGGCAAGAACCCTGGATTGAAAGCCAACAGTTCCCAGAAAAAAAAATTTGCCCTGCAACAGCCCTGGCTTATCCTGGCTGGAAAGCCAGCTCTCCCTAGACAGGAGCCTGGGCCTGCAAGAATCCTGGATTGAAATCAACCTCTCCCTAGGAAAAAACCAAACAGTTGCCCTGCAAGAACCCTGGTTTGAAAGCCACCTCTCCCCAGAAAAAAACAAAAAAAAAAGTTTTTCTGCAAGAACCCTGGCTTGAAAGCCAGTTATCCCCAGAAAAGCAAAAGTTGCCCTGCAAGAACCCTACCTTGAAAGTCATGCGTCTCCAGAAAAAAAAATTGCCCTGCAAGAACCCTGGTTTACCCTGGCTGGAAAACCAGTTTTCCCCAGGAAAAAAACAGTTGCCCTGTAAGAACCCTGGCTTGAAAGTCATCTCTCCCCAGACAGGAGCCTAGGCCTACAAGAATCCTGGTTTGAAACCAACCTCTCCCCAGAAAAAAATTGTTGCCCTGCAACAACCCTGATTTAAAAGCCAGCTCTGCCCAGAAAAAAAGTTCCCTTGCAAGAATCCTGGTTTGAAACCAACCCCTCCCCAGAAAAAAAAGAAGCTGACCTGCAAGAACCCTGGCTTGAAAGCCCCCTCTCCCCAGAAAAGAGTCTTCCCCTGCACTAGGCAAGGTTTGAAATGGGTGCGTGATGGACAGCGCTATGTCTCAATAGATACCATTAACACCTCTCAAAGGGGTGCCCACTGGGGACACAGTGCCCTTGATTTGGTGGCACAGTGAGGCTAGGGGAACTTAGGTCTGTAGGAAGAGCAGCCAGGCACAGGCACAGACACAAGTGGGTGTGATCATCACTGGAATATTATCAAGCCATCCCAATGGATAATAGGGACAATTTGGGCCAGGCTAAGCCTATCACCATTGCTTTGTTTGCAAAGGGTACTTGATCACATTGCCCTGACTGCCAGTTCTGAGACACAGTTGATACCTTCACAATTATGAGTACATGGAATTTTCAAAAAGGTTTGTTCAAGACATATTTATATAACAGCCTCACAAAGTTTGCAAGCAACTTTTCATGACTCAGCTGTTGTCAGAATACCTTGGTCTTGACAACATCTTGGCCATGAACACCTTCTCTGAAGTCTCAGAAAACCAAGTCCAGCACTATGCAGGCAACAAATCAGGAGGCTGATACATCCATTAATTGGGGTCCCAACTGGACCCAGGAAGAACTGAAGGACTTGGCTGACATTTGGTCAGAGGAAAAGATCATAGAGCAACTTAAAAGTAGGAGGAATAAGTTGGTGTTTTCAACTGCCAAAGAAATGAAGGTGTGAGGGTACAACCAGGACTAAACACAGTGCCAGAGCAAGATCAAGGCCCTGTGATTTATGTTTCACTGGGGGCAAGGATGCAATCTCTTGTTCTGTGGCAGGGCACACAATTGTTCCTTTCTACAACCAGCTGTATGTCATTCTCTCCAAGGATGCAGGTGAGGCTTTCTGTCTCCAGTTGTTCAGGACTGATGTTGTCCTGGAAAGCACACCTATGGAAGGAGCCTCAGTGTTCTGAGACAGAAACCATGACCATGTCAGAGCAGTGGAGAGACTACTCCATGGTGCTGGATGACAGGGACACCCAAGATGAGGTGACTCTGATCATGACCCCAATCTCTCCTTCTATTCCATGAAGTAGCACAGATGAGGAGGAGGAGAAGGAGCAAACTGCTTCAGATGTGGTTTCTGTTCCTCAGACCCAAAGAATGGTTTTTGTTCCCGGGACTCAAGAGGATGTGTGACCAGGAACTTATAAGTATGGGGGAATGAGCACTATATCCATTTAGGCCACTCTAGCAGTCACTTTTTCAGTGCATGAGGTTTGAATGTGTTGGGGGGTTAGTGCATGTAGTGCTGGAAGTGGGTCACCATCCTCTTGTGGGGGGTGGGGTGAAGAATATTTCACCACAACACAAACTCAAAGTTTTCCTTGAATTGTTTTAGCTGCCATGGGCAATGTCAGCTGGGGTTGTGCCTCCAAATGGGGGACTTAGAAATTTTGGGGCATGTGAATTTTTTCCATGTGGCCACTCTGGAAGGCACTGTTTTGGTGTATGCAGGCAGTGTCATAGCGGCGGGGGGGGGTGAGCAGCAAGTTTGGGG